CCCCAAAACCCCAAAACCCCAAAACCCCAAAACCCCAGAAAGAATATAATAAATTGAAAATGGAAAGAGGTATAACATTATGTACGCCCTTTAGTTTTACTCTCATTCACCATTTGTTTCGTAAAAGAGATATCAATTTTTATGAATTAGATACAATAATTCTCTGTGTATCCAAGATGGTTTCTTTAGGCTCATCACTTCTTTAATCAAATTTTCTGTATTTTCTTTTCTTAAACCTAAAACAGCATACTATTCAAATTTGCAATGACTGTTATAATTTTATTCGATATAAAGTCTCTAAGCATCTGGAAACTTGATTCTTCTACAGAATTTTCTATAAATTTATACAGCTTTATTTAGGATTAATATCGTGATTATTTCTACATAAACCCAAATTTTCAGAAATCATTTCCAAGACTGCTAGGTATCTTTGGATACTTAGGATATTTAAGCTGTATGCGGATTGTTGATTTAATAGTCCTACAAGTTAGTCGTATTTCTATAGAATCTTGCCATCTTGGGCTGAATGCCTGTTTGTCGGGGTCTGGCCAATCTAAAAAAGAGTTAAACAAGAGAGATTAGGGATGCTTTGATGGTTGGATTGAGGTTTAATTTCAGGATGCTCTTGGTTTTTATTGAAAGCACTATTTGAAAATTACCAATAATTTAGATACTATCAATAAAAGCATTTGAGAGGAAGAAATGCAGCAATGGAAAGATATAGGTTGGCAAGGAGATTTGCTAGGGACATATTCAAAAGTAGAAGCTGGAACTTGGAGAAAAGAAATTGATTTTAGCAGCAGTAAGCATAAGATTCATTACATATTGTAGGCTCGAATCAAAAAATTATCAGAAGGCAGATGAGATCTAGCTCAGAAATTTCTGATATTCTATTTTCAATTAAAATTTTTGCTGATAAAGAAAAGAAAAAGAAGAATTTAATAAAATATCTTCAAAATTTTGAGAATTTGCAACTTTACTCAGTCCAAATAATTCATACAGTGGGTAGTATAATGCCAGTCAACTACATACTCCCATCGGTCATAAAGCTCCTTCCGAAAATTGCCCTCAGGTTCAGCCTTACTCGATTCCAAATCAAAAACAAACATATTATCCAACTATTATACAACTTTAACACTGCTTTAAACCTTGATTTCAATTTCTGAATACTTGAGCTAACTCCAAAATCTCCAAAAATTCAAGCAAAGACTAACCTGGACACCATAAGACTTCTTGGATGTTCTGACACAGTTAAGCCATTAACTCTATCAAGCCCTTGTCTTAGTTTCTTCTTGAGCCTTCTCTGTAATTCTAAAATAAGCTGCTCTCTCAGCCATCTACACATCATCCTCTGATCAGCATTACCTCTAAACACCAGAAAAGCCAACAAACTACTAACCAAGTACCAACTACAGTCAGTTCAAGTGATGATCAGGAGTTACGTAACTGGGCAAGAGCTAACCTTTGGAGCAGACTCATAAAAATTTCCTCAAAATGATCCAATCTTTACTTTCCTTCAATCCTCACCACCCATCTAGGGGTTTTGGGGTTTTGGGGTTTTGGGGTTTTGGGGTTTTGGG